TATGCCGCCGTCGCACTTGCCGCCCAATTTGGGAACCCGCGGCGGCACCGCGATGCGACATCATCGTTCCACTCCTCCGCTTCGCAAAGGGAGAAGCCGCCGAGAATTCCGTTGTGTTGCTCAGTTGAGCATGGGAAGCGGGGGCCGATGCATCTCCAGCCTGCGCCTGTTGCGCAGGAACTTCCACAGAGTTGGAGCCGACAGTGACCAGCCTGGCGGTGTTGGCTGTCTGGGCAGCTGGGCCACCAGCCAAAGGAGTGGACAAACTTTGGCCTGTTTGTCAAAGAAGATGTCTGGCCCTTACATCTGGATTCATTGTGAAACCTACGGAGTATGCGGTTATTGTTTACCAAGGTACTCCGCCGCCGGGATGCCGGGAAAGGAATCACGGGTCTCCGATTCCAACCCTCCTCTCTGCCATCTCAGCTGGCAAATTGCATGACACTAGGAATGGCGCAATGCAGAACAGCCAGCATATGGAGGTACCCTTGGTCAGCATGCAATCACGATGGCATCACGAGCAACTGCCGCGGCGTCCCTTCTGGTTCGTTTCCTTGAACCCGCGCATCTGATCGCGATTCAGCAACACAGTCCTCGATTCCCCATCGCCTCGTATTCCTCTCCCGCTCGTCCTACTCTGCCCCTGGGTGACAATTGCCTTGTTTACCCCGGTCCTTTCGGCTTCCCCGTCTGGTCTTCGCCTCGGTCACACGGTCATGGGGTCTTTGACACCGAGAACCCTCGCATTCCCCTTCCCGTTCGATGGGGTATCACCTCAACCCCTCTCTCCTGTCGTCCAACCCCTCAGGTGGGAGCTTTGCCCATTTATTTACGGCCAAAGCAATTCTTCCTCCGTCCAGCCCGCCCTGCTCACTTTTGGTGAGAACCGATGCTCGCCGTCGACGTGCCTGCCCTTCTATCACACGGCAGTCATGTCAGCACCCAACAATATCCAGAGAGGCGATGTGTTGCCGGTCTGATGTTCTCACTTCAAAGACCACCCTCTCAGGAGGAGTCACGCCCGTGTTTTCTGCTTTTCATCCTTTCATTTTTCGACCAATTTGCCTCGAGCTGGACTTCCAAAATCCAGGCGCATGAGATGGACAGTTGGACAGATGCAGCGGGGATGCTCCAGGAAGCCAGCGTCAAGAGTCGAGACTCACCACTCGAGCATCACCGAGCGCAAGAAAGGCGACTCCTCATCCTCGAAACCTACCAACCCAGGCCCTTGGTGTTGAGTACCTTGCTGTTGGGAGGAGGGGACCGTACTGGTGCCTCGAGTTGCCATTACAGGCCGAGCATCCGCATGGCTACAGATAGTCATCTCCTTGGGCCCCAGCGACAGGCAATGAGAGCTGACGGAAGCAGACACGATGCCCCCCGCGGCCACGGCAGGGAGCACGGCCAGGTCTTCAACAGCACATCTGGTATGGACAGCCAGCTTCTGCGCTCGCTTCGCTCAATACCGACTGGCAGCTCATCGCATATCGACAGCTTCGACCAACGCACCCCGGCAGTTCCGGCTCATCGCGCTCCGGTGGGCTTGCTCACCGCGCTTTGGCAGGCCTCGGCCACCATGCCCCATCTCCTCTTCCAGGCATGCACGGTAAATGCGAGGCAAATCGCCAATGGTGAGGAAAGAGCGCGGTATTGGCGACGAGGATGCTCGGCGGCTTGGCTACTGTACTACCGAATCTCTGGCGGTGGGAATCGGGATCTATCACTTCAAGGTGGGAAAGTGTCTCAGCGCGGCTGTAGAAAAGGGGCAAGTCAACATTAGACCCCTGTCACCACACTGCCACGGCAACAGGGCTCTCCAAGACCTCCAAGACACCGACCAAGCCCAACTCGCCAAGCCAATCTTTTGGGGCCGGACTCTCCCATCGCCAGACATCATATCGCAACTCACTCGAGTGCTCGAAAAATGTCATCCCTCAAAGAGTAGTCGGGCGACGTATGTCACGTGCTCCTTGGGCATCACCACTGACAGCGCATCCCCAACCTAAGGCAAAGGGAGTTAATGCCATTGCCCGATCAACGGTGCGCCCGACTTGCCCCCACGTTTGCGCACCAGTGCCCGTCCGTGATGCGGAGTTGGGAGCAGCAGTCGACGAGACGAGATCGAACGTGGCGTCCACGATTGGGAGATGGGGCGGGGGCAGTCGTTTGATGAGTGGAATCGTCGCGAGTAGCCGCGGAAAAAAAGAATTGCTGGTGTACCTGCGGCGGCATCGTGCCTGATGAATATGCGTCGACATGGGCGGCTTTGGATCATGTTGGACCGTGGCCTGGGCATGGACGCTTCGTCCCGGCGTTTGCAGCGGCTCGGGGAGGACAGGAGTTGAACAATTGAAGCAGGGGCTGCCGGACAGGGACAGACGAGACGACATGGCACGTGCGCAGCCGCTTCCCCGCGGCGGCATCGGCAGCTCGTCATTCCCCTCACCTCACCGCCCATCTGCAGGGTCGCGCAATGCAAAGAGGGGCAGAGGGGTAAACCAGCGGCGATTGAGGTCAAGAGGTGAGAAAACGAAAGTCTAAAGTTGATGGGGAGACTCGGAGCTTAAGAGTTTGTAATTGTTTCCCAGAGTCTTTTGAGATGTCTTTCGCGGCGCTTCTCGAACCTACCAGAAGGCTCCCTCCCAGGCAGTAAACCTGCTGAGTGGTGCCCTGTGAGCCTGTGAAACCCCAGCCCAGCGCTGCGTAGTGCCTGCGTCACCACCAGTCACCACCTCTTGTCCCCAGTATCCGATAGGCCCGCCATCGAATCTTCTACAAGCTTGACGACGGAGGCCGACCACACCACTGCTGCCAAGGCATCCTACAGCCTTTGTCTCTTCGACTGGCGACAGCTAATTGCCAGTTCCTTTCTCCTTCAATCTGTTTCTGCAATTGCAACTCTGAAGCTGAGAAGCGCGCTATCTGCACTTGCCACTATCCGACCACTTTTCCCTCTGCGACGACTGTCACCAGAGCAAACTTTGCTTGGAGCTCCCTCGAGCAGACACCAGCAACATCCAGCAACCAAGGGGCAGGAGCTCTGTCACCTGTTCTCGCGGTCATTTGATCAGAACCCATCTGCCTACCTATATTCTCTCCCTACCCAGACTTCTCTCCGCGACACACAACACCCTCGACCAAGACCAAACCATCCAGGATGGTCAAAGAAACAAAGCTCTACGACTCGCTGGGCGTCAGCCCCGGCGCGACCCAGGACGAGATCAAGAAGGCCTACAGGTAAGGCTGCGCTCCCTTCCATCCTCTTTATCCTCCGTATCATCGGAGTTTTGGTCCCCTTTGCGCCTCAGACGTTGCGCTCCGATGTACCCCTCGACCTGACGTCGCTCCACCGTCAGAAGCGCGATCGCAAGCTAACCCCTCACTTTAGGAAAGCTGCCCTCAAATGGCACCCCGACAAGAACAAGGATAACCCGGACGCGGCCGAAAAGTTTAAAGAGTGCTCCCAGGCCTACGAGATTCTTTCCGACGCCGAAAAGCGCAAGATCTACGACCAATATGGCCTCGAGTTCCTCCTGCGCGGCGGCGCAGCCCCGCCTCCCGAGGCCAGCGCCGGCCCGAATCCCTTTGCCAGCGGCGGCGGCGGCATCCCCGAAGGTTTCGCCCAGTTCTTCACCGGCGGCGGCGCACCAAATTCCGGCAATGCCCGGTACTCGTACGGATTTAACTTCACCGACCCGAACGACCTCTTCCGCAACACATTCCGGGAGGGCGGCGGCATGGGCGACCCCTTTGAGGACATTCTCTTTGGTGCGCGGGGATCGCCAGGGCAAGGGGCGGGTCGCCGGGGAATGCGAGGATCATTTGGTGAGAGCACACGGGCCGCGCGCCAGGCCACACCAGAGGTCACGACGGTTGAGCGGCCCCTGCCGCTGTCACTGGAGGATCTCTACAACGGCGTGACCAAGAAGATGAAGATCAAGCGCAAGATGTTTGACGACAACGGCAAGAGGACGACCACGGACACGGTGCTCGAGGTGCCCATCAAGCCGGGTCTCAAGAAGGGCAGCAAGATCCGGTTCAAGGGAGTGGGAGATCAAGAGGAGGGCGGCCAGCAGGATTTGGTGTTTATCGTTGAGGAGGTGAGTTAAATGTCCCCGGAACGCAACGAGCGGCACTAACATACATATCAGAAAGCACATCCCCTGTACACGCGAGACGGCGACGACATTGTGCACACCGTCGACCTGGAGCTGAAGGAAGCCCTGACAGGGTGGAAGCGGACCGTTACGACGATTGACGGCAAGAACTTGGTCGTTGAGAAGACGGGCCCGACACAGCCCGGCAGCTCCGACTCGTACCCCGGCCTCGGCATGCCCATCTCGAAGAAGCCCGGCCAACGCGGCAGCTTTGTCGTCAAGTACAACGTCAAGTTCCCGACGACGCTGACGACAGCGCAGAAGCAAAAGCTCCGCGAGATTTTGTAAATGTTTGCTGGGATTCGATTCGGGATGGTCTCTTTTTGCCTTTTCTAGGTACATACATCACGACATGGGAGGCGTTTGGGGTTTGCATTTCGACGGCCTGTTCATGTGGTCGTCTTCATGAGGATGGGTTGGGGGTAGGGGTTTGAGCATTGGAGTTGTTACCGTGGGGGTTTTTATTATCTGAGATTGCTCCCCTCCCATCGAGGTACATTGATAGTCGGTAGAGCACGAGGATTGAGACTATGCCTGGTGCGACTTGGGTGATGAGGGAGCCAGGACGTAGTCAATGATATAGGTTTTCGAACAGTTCCCTGTCCCACGAGTTTCTTGAATAGGCATGTCATGTCCACCCAGAACACTCCCGCAGTGGAATTGCAATGATAAATCCCATCCCGCCGAATTCTCCCATCTTCCACCCTCCCCACCCACTCAACCGCCAACCCCTGAACCCCGGCGGAAGCGATGTTCATGATTCACGTCCTGCAGGTTTACCCCCCCCCAGGGCTCAACCAAGAACCAAAAAACCGCACAGAACAACATGAAATTCAGCAGAAAGGGCAACTAGTATAGTGGTCAGTACACTTCGTTGTGGCCTGTCTCGTCAGACAATCCCGAAGAAACCCAGGTTCGATTCCTGGGTTGCCCACATTTGGGTGTCTCCTCCAAAGGACAGGAGACATCGTCTTTTTGCTTTTGTATTCTTCCTCCCTTCCCCGGCAGTCCCGGTGCAAGATATGCACACCTTGGCTCGAGAAAGGACATCATCAAGCAAGGCAACGTGGCCGAGCGGTCTAAGGCGCCACGTTAAGGAGTTACATTCTTAATCACATATCTGCTCAATCTCATCTCATGATGAGGTTGGGAAGGGTTCCGTGGTCCGAAAGGGCGTGAGTTCGAATCTCACCGTTGTCAGTTGTATTTTTGCTGGTTTGGTGGTGATGAAGGGATTTTCATCCATGATGGGATGGGACGGAGGGGATGGTGGTGATGCCGGGTTTGAGAGGGCGGGGGTGGTGATGCTGGAGGAGCGGGATTCCGGAAGATTTCTTCATGGGTGAGCAATCGAGATTTGTAATAATTGCATTTTTGGTGCTGGATGATCCAGGGACGGCGTCAAGGTGTCGTCTGAATGTCGCTCTGCAGTGTGCAGTGCATCTCGTGCATGGAACAATCTGATGTGATGATGGAAATCTTGTGAAAGGCAAGGAAGGTGAGGATTGGGGAATTGGAATTTGGAGTCGCGCGCCGAGACCGGGGTCCAATGCAGGGGTCCTGGTTCGGCCAACCAGCGGCACCCCTGCTGCCGCCAGCGGGTGATGGAGAAGTTTGGCGGGCAGCCCTGCTGTGGCACTCGTCCATCCTCCAACAACAACAGCTCTCACCAGCACGACACCACCAAACATCTCGACAAACAGACGGTAAAATACAGCGATCACGGCGACACGATATACCCACAGCTTACACAGCTTCATGATACGGATACGGCGCCCAGCCGCCTGATACCGCCTCGCCATCCAGACGATTGGCAGCGCCCATTGCCCCTCCAAACCACGACAAGCCACGAAACCGTCACGATGAACATGAACGCCCTCTGGAGCCATGCCCTTGGCGCCGGCGGCGACACACCCGCAAACCCGACCGACACTGCCGAACTCCCGGTACCGAGCCCCGTCGAGCCCTTCAGCCCAGCCTACGAAGAGACCGCCGACGCCGCCCAGCCCTCCCCCGCGCGACCACTCCTCGTGCGCGAGCAGTCCCAGCCTCCACCACCAGAGCAGCAGCCACAACAACAGCAACAACAACAACAACAACCATTTCAACCTGCCGCCCCTCCCGCACCATCCTCCTCACCACACCCCTACGCCCCACCCTCCCCCGCCGCCAACGCCCCCGGCCAACAGCAGCAGCAGCAGCAGCAGCCCCAGCAACAACAAGGCCAAGGCCAAGCACCCCCAGACTCCCTCTCCCTCGCCCAGCTCCGCCGCATCGTCGCCGAGTTCCCGCGCACCGAGCCCATCGCCTACGACTATGTCTACACGGACATGGGCCCGTCCGAGGAAGAGATTGACGAGTGGTTCATGTACAACTTCTGGCAGTGGGTGCGGCTGAACGCGGCGGACCGCGCGTTCCACAGCGCCTGGGGGCGGCTGCAGCAGGGCGACGAGTGGGAGACGCTGGACGCCGCGGCGCGCGAGGGCTTCGTCAAGACGCTGCTGGGCGCGGTCAAGTCGGAGGACAGGTCGGCAAGGGCCGAGGCGGTGGGGTCGCTGGTGTATATCGTGCTGGGGCGGTGGACGGAGACGTTGAAGGGGGCGTCAATAACACTACCGAGCGGGAGGGCGGCCGCGAAGATAAGGTCCGTGGCGGGCTTCCCTCAGCTCATGGCGATGAGGGAGGGGGCGATGGTGCTGGCGGAGTGTGGGGGGTTGCCGGTGGTGTGGGGGGCGTTGAAGGACTCGTTTGAATTCTTTTGGTAGGTGGATTCTTGATGTGTGTGGTTGTGGTGTGCTAACTGGTGTAGGTCGGAGGAGGTCCCGCAGAACATGATCCAGGTGCTGGTGGAGGAGCTCATACACCTGATGACCATCATGTACATGGTGATACAGCAGACGCTGGACGATCCGGAAAGGATGGTGTCGGTGAGGGAAGGGCTTCTCGCGCTGAACCCGAACTTGCTGCATTTTATGCTGCAGGCCACGACGAGGTTGAGGTGGGACGAGACTTGCATTCCACCATGGACTCACGTAAGTCATTTCCTTTCGGAGAAAGGGGCTCGAACTGACATCAGCAGCATCAAATATTTCTCCTATTTTGGAAGTCGCTTCTCCTGGTATTCGGAGGCTCAAAGGAGATTGAGGCGGCCAAAAAGGCCACGAGCGAGTTCCAGCACGGCGAGGGCGACAAAAAGGACGTGATCAGAGCGTCTCTATTGGACTACCATGTCTTCCGACAGGAGATCACATCCAAGTACCCCGCCTACATCCCTCCCCAGACGCCGATTCCGCTAGAGCCAGAGCAGTCGTCCATCATCCCACCGTTGCACAACTACCCAACGAGGACCAACGGCCAGAACGGCATTCTTCCAGGACCTCCTGGGCAAAGCGGAGGCGCGTCCATTCTTCACCAGCCGGTCCATATCGCCACACCGGCCCCGTCGCCACCACCGAGCCCGGCTGTCGGAAAAGGCGGAAAGAAGCAAAACTACCAGACGAACCAGAACTTCCCCTTTATGTATCCCCCACTCGATGCTACTAGCAACAGCGCCGGTGGAAAGGGCGGGGCAGGACTGCAGGATCTCCTCGTGGGGAGAAAGTGGGAGGGCAGTGATGTGCCCTCGTCCATCCTCGAGGCCGCCGAGCTGTTTTCGAAACGAGTCAAAATGACGAGGGCAACGCGGCAGCTCTGGGACGAGAGTGAGAGATTTCTCAAGTTTGAGCGCGGCTGGGAGGGCCCGGACGATGATGTTATCGACGAACTCGACCTTTCGTCGCTGACGCTCGACGAGAAGAAGGAGCTGGGTCTGGTCAAGCCAGACGCCGAGGAAGAGCACAAGGGAAAGGAGCCCGAGATCGACTACGGGCCTCGTGGGGTGCCGCCGGATATAAAGCAGAGGCTTGACGCCGTGGAGGACTTTTACGTACGTCTGCTGGACTGAGTATGTCTGTTGCTTTGCTGACAACCTTGCAGAAAGAATCGTTGCCACATCTCCAGTCGCTGGTGATTGTGCTGCTCAAGGCCATCATGGCGATTGCTACCAACATGATGACGCCGCCCAACCCACAGGCGCCCGGCGCTGCGCCTCAAAACGGCGCCCGTCCCAATGGCCAGCCCGGACCGTCACAGCCAAATGGTACGAATGGGCCTGCCAAAGCGGATATCGGATCCCCGACAGAGACGGACGTGGACGAAGCGAGGAGTAGGGAAATCGCCGCCAAGGCGGTGACGGGCATCATGGTGCTCCTCCTCAAGTGGTTCAAGTTGTCTCGTGAGTACTGGCTTTCTCCCTGGTGTGCCATGCTGACGTGCGCAGATGTCCTCAAGTTCGAGTACATGACGCAGCTGCTGCTCGACTCCAACTATCTGCCGTTGGTGCTCAAGCTGTTTGCGCTGCATGACATTCAGCAGGTGGTCGAGAGCAGGACGGACCGGCTCGAGCATAGGTAAGTTCAGTGCCGCTTGGATGGAGTATATGTGCTGACTGTGGCAGCTTCTTCTACTTCTGTGGCTCCCGCGCGGGCATCATCACCCACCAAGGCATCCCCAACCCAACCGCGACCGAATTCGAAGAGGACGAAAGCGAAGACGACGCCGCACCACCACCCATCAAGCGGGGGCGGTCCCCGACCAACCAGGAGGCCACCGCCGCCGCCAACCCACCGCCCAGCACCTCCCCCCAGACCACGCAGCGGCCCGAGGTGGACGAGATGGGCTACCCCGTCAACCCGATGCCCAAGGAGCCCATCACGGACTTTTCCTGGCGCAACTTCTTTGCGCTCATCAACTACCTGCGCGTGATGCAAAAGATCTGCAAGCACAAGGCGCACCGCAACCTGCTCATGATGAACTACAAGAGCTCGGGCATCCTGCGCAAGTCGCTCAAGGTGCCGCAGCAGGAGCTGCGGCTGTACACGCTCAAGCTGTTCAAGAACCAGGTGCCCTACTGCGGGCGCAAGTGGCGGCAGAGCAACATGCGCGTCATCACGGCCGTGTACCTGCACTGCCGCCCGGAGCTGCGTGACGAGTGGCTCGCGGGGAGCTATCTCGATGTCGACGTGGAGGCGTCGCTGCCGCTTGAACAGGCGCTTCGTAGCTTGACGCACTGGTTCAACATGCGCAGGTACCCGGATAAGATGGCGGCTGAGGTGAGGCAGGCGCTGCGCGAGGAGCAGGACTTTTTTGTGAGGGAGCTGGACAAGGTGGATCTGAACTGGGCCGATGTTGAGGGGGATGATGCGTCGGTGAGATTGGACTGGGAGCAGGAGCAAGGAGGGTGGTGAGGACGGGTCGATGGTATGGGTGGGATTTGTCAATGTCGGCATGGACGGAGTTGGGGTAGACCACGAACGTCTCGGGAAAGGGAATGATACCAGACCTGTCAGAGTGACACAGCAGCAACAGACAAAATGCAATGTTGACAGCGATGTATGTATTCGATGGCGGTATATTCCTGCCGGGTATTATATGCTCACCAGTCTCTCTATGATGTAAAACAAGACGCCATTCCCACCCCGGACTCCAGAATCCCAAGACGAAGACTCAAACCCGATCATACACCCCGTCCCCGTACCTGTAATTCGCAGGCGGGAACCTCGCCAGGGGCACCTCCTCCATCCTGTCCCCTCCATACCCGAGATCCCCACCCCCGACGTACGCCTGCCGCCCATGCCCATAGCCATTCCCATACCCGTCCACATTCCCGACGACCACAGCTCCCCGTCCGTACCCAGCTCCACCCCCCCGTCCATACCCATCACCCTCCCGCCTCGTCGCCCCCACCCACCCCCCTTGCTGCGCCATCTCCAGCCTATCCTCCTCCACCGCCTCGCTCTGCCTCACATCCTCCGGCAGCGCATGCCCCGGCAACGCATCCGGATTCGGCGCCAGCGGCGCCCCGCTCTCGTCCTTCTTCCTCTTGCCCGTCAACCAACCCCAAAACCCACCGGCTTTCTTACCGCCGTCCTCCTTCTTCTCATCCTCACCCCCCCACGCCCCGGGCATGGTCGTCCCGGGCATAATCGGCCCCGGCGCGAACCGACTCTCGCGTCTCCTCTGCCGAATCAACCCTAGCTCGGTGAGGATGGAGAAAATAAACAAAAATCTATCCCGTTAGCACACACACAGAAAACATGGCAGTAGGAGGGACTTACATCCCCAAAACCCCCCCAACCAACCCCCCCACCGCCACCCGACAC